TTGTGTGATTTTTTTGACTCAGGCAACGTTTCATTTTTTTCCCATTATTCCCTTAGAGAAGGAGAAGATGGGAGCTCTGGAATAAGATGTTTATCAACTGGCTAGTTCCATCATCAGAGATAGTTGCAGGCAAGGGTGACACAAACACGAGGCGCATAGTACGTGTTCGACCATCGATTTTGATGAAGTCCACTAAGTGCACCAACAAACTGGTACAGAAGGTGACGGTCTCCGGGGTAAGCTTTATAGTGATAGAAGATTTAGTTAGCGGCTCAGCGCTCTTTACCTTCTCCCGGAGTCTCGAAGACTAAAAGGGGTCCGGCTTAGACTGCTTTCCCCAATTCAAGCCGAAACACCGCCTAACTCAGTCTTAAGTGACAGTAGACTTTGCATGGGTACTGCTGCACTGTCTACCCTCACTCACCCATAGTAGGTGTCTAGTCAGGCTCTGGGAAGCCAGAGCTGGTATTGCTAATACCACTATTGCTATTTATAATGCTACTAACTAGGGTGTAGCTGAGTGATAGTATTTTCTGGTACTATTACTGACTGTATTGTAAGGCAGAAGTGACCCTGATTAAAGTCAGCACTGGACTCATATCCCCTCAATCTCAACAAGAAGTGTAGTAGTACTGGTGCTAGCACTGGCGCCACCATTTGTCAGAGATGACGCTGATAAAGCTAATGCTAGGGCTCATACCCCCTTGGTCTCAACAAGGAGTGTGAATTTGGGTTTAAACTATTTCGAGTAAGTACAGGCTTGGGGCCCTGAGCACAAGAGTGTTTGCCTTGGTTTCCGCACTCTTAACTCTACCCATCGAGCTGTGCGGACTAAGATACTGCTGCTATATGTACGTGTCTATACTATGAGTGCGAATTTCTATTACTCATGCTTGCTAAGGCTAGTTGATAGTATACTATAAGTACTGCATAGGTTTGCTTTTTAAGGAGTCGCACCTAGTATGCACTCCCAATCTGTGTGAGATAAAGTGATTAGTACTGGTAGGCCGTACTGGCCACGCGACCACATGCGTAATGCAATTAGTAGCTCATGTGATCACCACTGGGGGAGGGGCGGTCGTGCTGCGCTGATGGCTTCACATTCTGTGTCCGAGTCGCCAATGACCGCGATTTCAGCATCCGTTTTAGATGTTGACGTGATACTTACGCAAAAGGTTTTATTGAATTCAACAAATTTGGCGACGGCTTTTTAACTGCATCCTGTAGTTGCATGAGTCAGATAATGGTTTAGAAGCATACTACAAATTGAATTTCCTAGAATGTCAATGTATAGTATGGCCCAGAATTCGTGTAACATGCCGACGATTGATACTCTTTCGCTAATTGACATTGAGTAAGGTTGAAATACTGATTATCTTGTAGCCTATTTCCAAGTCCTTTCAGTCACGATAGAATGCCAGTTTTTTAGCAAGCTTCTTTCTGACCGCTAACAAAACTTATGTACCGTAATAAATGGCTACTTAAGAGGAATGCATTTTTGTCATTGATTTTGACTATCTTTATAAATGCAAACATACTTTATGGAAAGCATAAACGAAGCATTTTTTCTTGTACTCGTTTGGTAGCAAATTACAGCTTTTGTTAAATTTTATATTTAAAGAATGTATATCTTTCGGCTTTAAAAAACAGTTTCTAAATTGCCGAACAATTGTTATACCTACTGACTGCTACACTTGAATTCAAGGCTTACAAACTGCGCAACTCAAGTCTTGATTAAAACTAGCTGCGCAATTACCAAGGTAATTGGATATTGACCACGTGATGTAGCTGCTTGCACAAGTTGGGTTGCTCCTGCTGTATGTAGGCTGCTCTCAAGTAGCGTAAACACTGCTAGACAGTGGTCACTCGGTCGACCTCAAAACAACTTTCCGAGTACTTATTTGGGCACGAAAAAATCGGACCCTGCGCTTCTTAGCAGCGGTCTATATACGGCGGGAGAAACCCGACCTGTGCAAGCAGCTCGACCACGTGGTCAATCTCCAATTTCCTTGGTAATTGCGCAGCTAGTTTTAATCAGGACATGCTTTCCCCCCCCTTTTCTCCCTATAAGCTCATTTAATGTAGTTTCCTTTAGTTGATCATTATTTGTACGGAACGGTGACCCTTGTTGTTATACATTGGCATGCTGGAAAGTTCAAGCTGCTGTATGCTTCTAACCGTTATCTGATTCATGCAACGATGGGAGGTAGTTGAAAAGCCGTCGCGAAGTTTGTTGAATTCAATCAATCCTGCTGTCTACGCTTGGGTTAAATTCGTACCAGGGAAGAATTGCTTCATTTTATGCAGTAATTTGTCTCATTGTCACTGGAGGTCGCCCGCGCCCTCTCCTCATGTGATACTGATTACTCCGCTCAGAATATGTGGGCGGAAGTTCATTACACTTGTTGGTGGATTGCGGATCGGACAAGTATTAATCCAGCAGCTCTCAGCTCACGCGATTGTCCCCTCACTCTAGCGGAGATTTCTGCCTCGGTATACTTCATACTCGGTCGAGTGAGCTAACATTTACGCAGGCTCAAATATTGCAGCGATGACACCTAGACAAGCATTCAGGAAGTCTAGGTAGGCGAACGAACGTTTTTGATTAATTCATCATCAAGTAAATACAATTATATAAGGGAGGATAGAGTTAGCAAAAGTTTAAGCAATCAGTCAGTAGCGAAATGGGGGAGGGGAAGGACTCCGACAATTAGGTTATATCACCCTGTCATCCTTATCTCGCGTTTTCT